CCAAAAAAACCTAAACAGTTGCATTTGATTTAAATGCTAATTTCATGTTGCTGTAATGACAGTAACGGTTGCAAGTCAATGCTCATTTTGGAGAGCTTTTGCTCGCCGTGTTCGCTTCTACCACCTGGCCAAGACCCAACCGAGCGACATAAAGCCAACTTTGAGAAAAGATTTATTTTCTGACCGTAGGAGACACGGCGTTCGTTGGGTTGCTCGAAGCGACTCGCTTCGTTGTGGCTGACAACAAAAAAGTGCCGGATACAGCCGCAGCTTGAGGCTGCACTTTGTGCCATCAGGCGCCGTAAGCGTGCCAGAAACCTCAACACGATTTTGTGGATTTTCCAGCAGCTGCATCAACTGTTCGTTTTCAACGGTCGCGACACCGCGCTTTGAGCAACTCCGCCAAATCTCAAAACGGCCAATTCTGGCGGCGGCCAAGATGAGAATATTGACGAGTCCGAGAAGGTATCCGCTGCAGGGGTCACGGGTGAGCTGCGGCCTACCCAAGCTGATTTTTGGACGAGAGCTCAGGTACGCCCGACCCGGTATTCCTGTTCGAATGCACACGGTGTGGCAACACATGTAGACGGGCAGTCATATATTCTTTATCCTCTGCGAATAAAATATGGCTGCAGATGACTGACTTCATTCGGTATTAACGGTCTTTTGTGCGTCATTCCCCCGAAAAAAAAGGTCTGTAGTTTTTCAATGGCGGGGACTTTAACTCGTGAATGTCATTTGCATTCATTTCAACAGGGAAGGATGACTGTTGCTGTTGAAGAGAGGATGAATACTTTTGTTTTGTCTTTGCCTCAATTAAAAGGATTAAATGATTTCTTCCATTGTGGACTAAATAAAACAACACGGGGGAGCAGTTGATGTCATGTAGCCGTGAAAATGTTGGAAATTTGCTCAAAATTTTGTCTAATGTTTACTTGGTGGATTTTTTTTTAACCCCCTTGTGTTTTTCTTGGTATATTTTCTTCTCTCTCAGTCTCTCTCTCTCGCTATTTTGAAAACCCCTTTCCTTTTTCCTTCATTTGTATTTTACAATTTGTTGACACATTTTCTCTTACTATGACTTTTGCACAATGTGCATTAGTTAGCAGTTTTCTTTCCTCAAATTAGTTGACTAAAATGTACTTATCCAAATAAGCGATGAAGTGATGTCAAGGACAAAATAATAAATATGAGTAAAAATACGTTAAAAAAAAAAACCACATTCTCAACATTTTAACGGGCGAGCACGTCGTCCTCACAGTGCAGAGGTCACAGCTTCGATTCCAGGCCCCGGCCTTCCCGCCGTGGAGTTTGCATGGTCTCCCCGTGCCTGCGTGGGATTTCTCCGGGTTTCCTCACACATTCCAAAAACATGCACGGTAGGTTTAGTGATCAGTTTAAATTGTCCTTGGATATGATTGTGAGTGTGAATGCTTGTTTGTTCAATGTGTGCCCTACGATTGGCTCGCAACCGGTTCAGGGCGTACCGCGCCTCCTGTCCAAAAACAGCTGGGATAGGCTCCTGCAGTGAGGCTAAAGTGGTTCAGATAATGGATGGATTGGTACAAAGGATGAACACAAAGATTTGCCAAAACAAACAAATACATAGTATTTTGTTTTTTTTAATGTGATCATTTTGACCTCATAACTACTGGACCATTTTGTTTGTTTGTTTTAAATCAAACGTGACCGACCTTGAGCACAATATAATTGCTCAGCCTGAATTCATGGAAGAATAATTTGGCCGTTTTTTTAAGAGAGAGAGAGCGAGAGAGAAAGGTTGATAGATTAAACACTTCCTGTTTCCTTCAGCCAATCAGACGCTCTCAACATAAACATGGTTAAGAAATTATTAAAGAGAATATAATTTAGGTAACTTTAACATCAAAGACAATACTGTAATGTTCAAACATCAAATTATAATAATTAACAATTGAACAAAAGCTTACACAACGTTTACCGGACGTTCGTGAATGAGCATCATTGGATTGTACCGCACAGAACACGTAAGAACTCTGTTGTCCTCCAGCGACAGGTGGCGCTGCAGGCAAAAGAAAAGGCTCCGCGGGTGCCCTCCGACCCTACGTTGTCGTCAGAGGCAGAGAGAGAGAGGGGGGGGGGAGGAGGGAGGTAGAGAGAGATAGAGAGAGAGAGAGAGAGAGAGAGAGAGAGAGAGAGAGAGAGACTCGGACCGGAACTGCGGTGCCTGTTGGCATTGCTAACTTAGCAGCTAACAGGCTTTTCGTTTCCTTCCTCCTTTATTTATTTATTTTCATTTAACGCGCCCTTTCTCGTGCGGAGCGATGTGGTTTATTTATTTGCTGAGCTGGCTGTCGCTGTTGCTCCAAGTGTCCTTCGTCACTCTCGCCATCGGTACGTGCTAGCGAAGAAGCCGCGAATGTTAGCCGCGTTTGCTTCGGCGAAGCTGAAGCAAAGTGGAAAAGCAAACAGAAGTTCACTTCTGAGCGCACGGGTTGTTGGCTGCCGACTTGACTTGATTTGACTCGTTGAGTTTCCGACATGAGCGGCACGTCGTCAACCGAATCACCGCTCCAATGCAAAAGCGGACGCGATCAAATGTCCTTCGGATTGCTGAACTGTTTGGAGCTGGAATGGTGTCAAATTCAGTCTCGGAAATGAGGACGCTGGAGGCAGATGGGATATTTCGAGGATGATTCCGATATTAGGCCATAGAAAATGGGGACAAGCAATTCGTTGGCCGAGCAATTGAAACTTCTCCGTTACAGGACGAGTGAAATAACTTTGAATCGGGTCCCTTAACATTTACAACAACAAAGGTAGGTATTACCGCTAGAACATTTTCACTGGTTTACAATATTTTGTCCTCCAGTATTTTTAACGCTACACTAAGGAGAGACAATTGGGGAAAAACGGGCATCTCCTTTCTCTTCTTTTTTTTTTGCCAATTTCCTTGCGTGGGGGAGTGTTTGACCTCATACTGTTTTTATGCGGAGCTCGGCCAGCGGAATAATACTGTACTGAAAATAACAGCGGAGATCCTGCAACGAGCATACCTTGACTAAGTGTGAGACACGTCATAAAAGTTTCAGGACTAGCTTCAGATAGATTTCAAATCGGAGCTACAAAAAAAAAAAAGGGGAATCCCACAAGTAGTAGAAAGTTCTTGCTGTAACCTGGTGTGTTTTGTAAAAAAAAAAAAAAAAAAATGCATGAACAATTGAATCCGATGCGGTTAGATTTATCATGTATGCTTTGACCCGATCAAAACAAATAATTGAAATCAATCTCAAAAACATCCACACGTTCAATCTTTTGGCGGCAAAATGCTGCATGGCTCTCCTTTCCCATATGTGAAGGCATGACAGTACCTTAACCCTGCCCCACCCCCACCCCCACCCCTACTTTGTTCCAGCTGCTGGCCTATACTACTTGGCGGAACTGATAGAAGAGTACACGGTGGCCACCAGTCGAATAATAAAGTACATGATCCTGGTAAGACAGCGGTCAAGAGGCGCGCGCTCGACGGCGTGCGGGTGGGAGGGCGTCTCACGTCTCGGTCGCTTTGTGCAGTTCTCGACGGGGGTGCTGGCCGGTCTGTACGTCTTTGAAGGCTTCCCGACATTGATGATGGCGGTGGGCCTCTTCACCAACTTGGTCTACTTTGGCCTGCTGCGGACGTTCCCGTACATCCTCCTGAGCTCGCCCAACTTCATCCTGTCCTGCGGTACGCCTCGCGCCAGGCCCTCGACTCGCCGGCCGCCGCTTCGTGCTGCGCGCGTCTTAACCCTTCTCCCTTTCGTCCCGCAGTGTTGGTGGTGGTCAACCACTACATGGCCTTCCAGTTCTTTGCACAGGAGTATTATCCTTTCTCAGAGGTAACTTCAACTCAACTCAACTCAACTCAAGTGTATTTCCGGAGCGCGTTCAAACAACCGCCGCTGTCTTCAAAGTGCTGTACAGGGGGCAATAATCTCTTCTACAACAGCAAACGAGAAAACGCCAAATGAATCATGAACGACGACGACGGCTGAACGCGCAAAAAGGGTCAAACTCAAAATCAAGTCTCGTGCTGCGTCCAAAGCCAAAGAATAAAAATGACTTAAGACGAGTTTGGAAGATGGGTGGCGAGGCGGCGCTCGTTCCAAAGAGATGGAGCGGCCACGGAAAAGGCTCGGTTACTCCAGGGTACCTCGAATAGTGACCCGTCCGCCGACCTTCGGCGCCGGGCAGGCGCTCCGAGAGGTCAGGTGGGGCCGGGCCATTCCAAGATTGGAAAACAAATAAAAGGTACTCGAAAATGTGTACGCAGCCAATTGAAGGGATGCCAGAGTAGGAGTGACGCGCTCCCTCTTCAGATACGAGTCGTCGTCATGAGGCCGGCGGCGGCATTCCCGACCGACTGGAGACGCTTGACGATGGATTGGCTGACTCATACATACATTCTTGGATGTGCTGAAGTGGAGTACACGCTTTGAAAACAAAATAAGAGCGCATCTGTTTTTTTTTTTCCAACCAGAAATTTCCCCAAAACAACACTGCAGTCCCTTTGCCATCTTTTTTGTTTGTTTTGTTTTGTCAACGTTGACAAGCGTGTACAAATGGAGATTCAGGCCGATTTTCGTTCTTCAATGTTTAGAACGCTTCAAGCGGGGCTCAAAAAAAAACAACGCTGACAACGGGTTGGCGTGGGCGATTCGCTGTCCGAATGACACGTATGAAATCATGTATCTTGGACACGCTGAAATGAAAAAGCAGGAAAAGAGAGAACCCCCGGCACACTCGTATTTGGTTGATTTTGCGTTTGTTTTTCGTTGTTTTAACCACGGTTGTTCATTTCGTTGTTTGATTTGCTTTGAGCATGTTTTTTTTTTGTGTGGCGTTTGCTCGTTGTTCAGGTGCTGGCGTATTTCACCATCTGCCTCTGGGTGATCCCCTTCGCCTTTTTCGTGTCGCTGTCGGCGGGCGAAAACGTGCTTCCGTCCACCGTGCAGCAAGGCGGTGAGTAATTTGGCGCTCGCGCGGCTCTCTCCGGCGGCTTCCGATGGAGCCGCCGCGGCTCGTTTCGTCCCGCGTGCCCAAGAACGCCGGTTCCCGGAGAGCCGCTCTCCTGACTGATTGCCGTCTCTCTTTGCCGCCGTATCGGGAAGCTGTTTGAAATCAGAGAGGGCCGTTCGTGTTTGAGCGGGTACGAGCGTCTTAAAAGGAAAAAAAAAAAAACCAAAATCAAGGACGAGAACAATCATAAAGCGGACGTGGCTTTGTGTAAATGGTGTTCATTCACGGAGTCGTGTTGAAAAGCGGTCACTCGCTTGTTGTTGACTACAAAAATCCATCAATGGCGTATTGTCACGAGAAGCCGCACTGAATCCATTCGGTGGGCTTCGGCTTTTAGCTTGCAAATAAGATGATCCAGACACGTGTGTATTCCTTTTGGGGTGAGGGGGGTCGTTTCTATTTAGAGCGTGTAGGAATCCCCACCTTTGGCTTATTTAAAGCGATGTGAAGAGGAGCCTTGTTTTTCTTGTTTTGATGTGGAAGATCTACTCGTCCATATCAGTCGCAAGAATCTATTTTGTGTATCGAGCCCACAACATGACTTTGAATCATTTCTAGCCAATGAGGGGCAGGACTAGATTAGGTTTTGGACATCCCACTCCCATTTGGACACATCCACTGCACTGAACCGCCAAATGTATGGATGAGCGTTTGTTTTGTTTTGTTTAGTTTTGTTTTTTTTCTTTGGTTTGTTTATTTTGGGCATTTATGTTCACTCATTCAATGTGTGTGTGTGTCCATCTCGCTCTCCATCTCTCTCGCAAAAACATGCATGACAGGTTGAATGGAACACTCGAAATAATCCCTGAGTGCGAGCGCGAATGCTTGTTGGTCTCTGTGTGCCCTGCGAGGGGCTGGCCACCGGTTCAGGGTGTCCCCCGCCTACGGCCCGAAGACAGCCGGGATAGGTTCCGGCGACCCTTGTGAGGCGAAAGCGCATCGGAAAATGGCTGGATGTAACATTTCGGCAAAGAAAGCCACGTCCGTCTGTGCCACATGCCGCATTTCTCCCCATTGGAGGCGCCCATCTGGAATCGCGGCGGCCTCGCGCTGTACTTTTGTGAGCTCCAGAGTGTTTGGTGCAGTCGCCATCCGTGCCAAAGATAAAAGTTGGCAAAGTCATCAGGCAAAGCGAGCTCTGCGGAGGTGCGCCGGTTCCGGCGGTGGCAAGTGGCGCCACGCCATCGATGTTGGATGAATGTGTCACTCTGTTGGATTTTGTAGTCGCCATCCGTGCCAAAGATAAAAGTTGGCAAAGTCGTTCGGGCAAAGCGAGCTCTGCGGAGGTGCGCCGGTTGCGGCGGTGGCAAGTGGCGCCACGCCATCGATGTTGGATGAATGTGTCACTCTGTTGGATTTTGTCTTGTTGAGTTAGTTTGTTTGTCTGTCTGTTTGTTTTAGATGACGTGGTGTCCAATTACTTCACCAAGGGCAAGCGGGGGAAGCGCTCGGGCATCCTCCTGGTGTTCTCCTTCCTCAAGGAGGCTGTGCTGCCCACCAGGCA